ATTTTTAGAGAGTAGAAGGAAGAGGGGGGTGGGAGAGAAACATCCATGTGAAAGACATAAGGGGCAAGGGAATGAACCTACAACCCAGGTCGTGCCCTGATCCTCCTGTGCTGCAAGTGGACACTGTAGCCATTAAACCACACCAGCCAGGGTGCCTTGAGCTTTTATAAGGGAAAATTAACATCTTTACAATATTGGATCTTGCCCAGCTGGTGTAGCTCAGTGGTTGAGCATTGACCCATGCCCAAGAGGTCGCTGGTTCGGTTCTCAGTTAGGACACATGCCCAGGTTGTGTGCCCCATCCCCAGTGGGGGGCATGCAGGAGGTGGCCAGTCAATGATCTCTCTCATCAATGTCTCTGTCTCTCTCATTCTCCCCTCCTATCTCTCTTAAAAAAAATCAATAAAGAAAAATTACATTGGACCTTCTTATCCATTAATTAGGTATGTCCATTTTATTTAATTTTAGAGTTATTCAACAAAGTTTTACAGTTTTAAATTTTCCCATAAAGGTCTCCGGTTTATTTTTTAAAACTTTGTAGCTTTTGTTATTATGGATGGAGATGTTTTTGTTCTCGTCATTATTTTCTCATCCATTATGCATAGGCCCAGACATTCTTAATTCAGATCCCATCTCCTCCACTTATTACATGATTTTAGACAAGTTTACTCAACTTCTTTGAGTCTTTGTGGTCTTTTCTACGATACAAAGATAACAGCACTGGCGATGTCGTTGGAATTAGAAAAACGACGAACCCAATAAACCGTAGTTTTAAAAACTACATATCAGTAATATCAGGGCGTGGACTGGATGAAGAATTTGAGGGAGGCCTTCATTGGCAGAGAAGCTGAGGGCGAGTCTCTGTGGCTTGCAGCGTATTCTATATTAAAACGAATGAATTCCTATGAATGTTCAGGCAAAATGCACAACTACAAGGAGAACAGTAATGTTAGCACTTTCTTCCGTGAAACTGTTGGGGAGATCCAGGACGGGCGCTGCTCTGTTACTTAAATCGACTTCCCATCTCTTCAGTTGGTACCACCTTCCCCAAATAGTTTGGAGTCGAGCATTCTGGGCTTTGTAGTCAACTTCCTTATTAGAGCTGTTCCACCGAGCTCACGCAGTTCCCCGAGACTACATTTCCCAAGAGCCTTCAGGACAGGTTGGTTGCGCGGACCTCACTTGACTTCCGGTGTCGTAAGCTCTCTGGGGCCAATCGGAAGGCTGGGATGGCTGAGTTCCGGCAGTGTGATTGGTGCATTCGACTGGAGAGGCTGTGTTCAAATTTTCAACGGTACTGAATGAATCCCGCGGCGGTTCTTGCGGACGCTCCGCCGTTACAGCTGGGACGCGGTGAGCCTTGGGGAGAACAGGGGAGCTGCTGGGGTGCGGGGGTGCCTTTTTCCTGATTTTCGAGCTGAGGTTGCTTTCAAGCCCCTGGTTCAGTCCGCGTCTCTGGGCCCGGGCTTCTGAGGCTGCTGTTGTGGGGCGCTGCCCTGGCCGGGGCGGAGTGGGAGCCGGGCTTCCGCCCACCCTTTTTCTTGCAGGGTTTCCTGAGAAGTCTGTTCGGGCTGAGTGTAGTGGGCTGCATCTGGAGGTAGAGGTGGAGGCCGGCCGTGGGAAGTAGGGACGAGAAGGATTTGCGGGAGGCTGCAGGCCAGTATTAACGGTAACAATTATGTGATTACCACGCACACATGAAATAAGCATTTACTGGGCCTAGTGCTCTGCGTGCGCTTTCTCATTTAATTTTCTCAAAAAAAAAAAAAACCAATGAAGTAAGTGCTATTCTAATTCCCACTTTATAGAGGAGGAAACTGAGGCCCATAATCTAGACGAATTTAGAGAAGTGGATGAAACAGTAGCCCCGTCCTCAAGAAATGTGGCTTTTGGTGGGAGAAAACAGTCGTGGTTACAAACAACTACATTTCAAAACTATTGTGTGAGATAGATACATGAGGTGATGTGAGAACACACTTGAAGGGGAGTTTAGTTCTACTCGGAGTTGTGTTTTTATTTGGGATTTTAAATTAATTCTGTTTTATTCATATGTGCCCATCCTTCCCCTTTTGTATCTAAAAACTAGGTATTCTTGCCTTTCTTATTTCTTGTCCTAGAACATTTATAGATGGGGGCGGGGGGGGGGAGAACTGTGAACAAGGCTATCATATCTAGGATTAGTTTGCCCCCTTTTTCTTGATACATGGTTTTTTCCTCACATATAATTTTCTAGTAATTAAGTACCAAGGATTTCCCCCCAAATCAATCCTGCTTAGGGCAAGACAGATTTTGAGTGCTCTAATGATTTTGTTTTAAGGCCATTGCTTGGTGTACTCCCAGGTTCAGCTTTACCTTGTCTTGACATCTTATGGCCTTTTAATAAACATGTCTCATCACATGTCAAAAATTGAGCTATTTACTGCTATAATAAGGATATTTTTGTGTTGTGGCCTTAGTGTTTCACTCCCCCGGTCAAGCCACCCTTATGTCACCCCGGTTGTTTTGGAGTAGCATTGTTGAGTGTGTCAGCTCAGTGTTAAGTTGTCACTCTTGGGATCAAGGTTATTGTAGCTCCCAGCTCACTTAGCTCATTAATTGACCTCTGAAGGTATACTGTGTGCTCTGGTTGGTGTTGGATGCTGTAGGTATATGATGTATGAAAGGTTTTCTGGTATGCTTCAGGACAAAAGACTGAGTCAAGCTGATAGGTGACAACCAGAACAAATTAAGACAGCATCTAAGTGCTGTACAGTTTTGAATTGTAACTGCCTTGGCAATTTAGAGGTAAAGGAGATCAGTGAAGCTTAAAAATAGACAAGGGTGGCTTTGTGAAACAGGTGAGGCTCTTGATAAGCAAAGTTTGTGAGACAGGAATTACAGCAGTCTTGGTGCATAGAAATAACCCACTGAATATCAATTGAACTGGATAGGCAGGAGGGCATTATCTAAATTGACTACAAAATTGCAGCTATGAGAAGTGGACTTATTTATAAATAAAATAGGGTTACTTTGGCCAGCTTTATGCTTGTCTTTGTAGTCTAACCTTTGAGTGAATTTATTCTGCAGTTGCTGTTAATCTTCTCGAGGAGATGGGATTATGTGGGAAGGTCCTTTATTTAAGAACTAGGAGAGGTTCAGAGTTCTTCTATATCCCGTTTTTTCCCCCTCCAGCCTTTTCTGGGTCTCTTCCCTAAATTCTTTTTTGTTGTTGTTGCATTTTTTTTTTAATCCTTACCCGAGGACATTTTTGCATTTATCTTTAGATAGAATGGGAGGGAGAGAGGGAGGAAGAGAGAGAGAGAAACATCCATGTGGAGAGACACATTGAGTGGTTGCCACCCATACAACCCCAAGCAGGGCCAGGGACAAACTGCAACTGAGGTAAGTTCCCTTAGCAGGAACCGAACCCGGATCTCCCTGGTCCACAGGCTGACACTCTAACCGATGAGCAAAACTGCCCAGGGCCCTAAATTCTTTTTGAATTGCTGGAAAAGAAAGGAGGAGAGATTCGAATGCCTCTTGGCAAACTTAATTTTCTTTGCCACCAGTGAAGGTAGGAAGCAGAATTGAGGACAGTGAGATTGAACAGCTCAAGTATTTTTATGAATAGATCTTTGTTTGAGATCAGCAGCCCAAATTACTTTGTGAAAAAGGTGTATATAACTGGGAAGGATTCTGTTTTTCTCTGTTTGTGTAGATAAACTTGATTAGGGGGAAATGAAAGATTAGTGAGAAAGGTATAAAGTTGTATGTAGGAGCTTACTTTGGAAACATTATTTTTATTTGTTAATCCTCACCTGAGGATATTTTTTTCCATTGATTTTTTTGGGGGGTGGTAGAAGGGGGTTGGGGAGAGAGCAGGGAAGGGATGAACAAATGGAAGGAAGAAAGAAAGGGAAAGGAAGGTAGGGGGAGGGAAGGGAAGGGAAGGAAGGAAGAAAGAAACAAACATCATTGCCTCCCTAACCTGGGAATTGACCTGCAACCCATGTAGGTGCCCTGGACTGGGAATCAAGCCTTTGGTGCTTGGGGTGATGCTCCAACCACTGAGCCACACCAGCCAGGGCTGGAAAAAAATTTTTTTTTTTTTTTATCCTCACCCGAGGATATTTTTCCATTTTTTTGTGCAGATAGAGTGGGAGGGAGAGAGAGGAAGGGAGAGAGAGAGAGAAACATCGACATGAAGGGACACATCGAGTGGCTGCCACCCGCACGACCAACCAGGGCTGGGGACAAACTGCAACCGAAGTACGTGCCCTTAGCGGGAACTGAACCCGGGTCTCTCCGGACCGCAGGCCGACGCTCTAACCGCTGAGCCAAACTGGCCAGGGCTGGAAAAAAATTTTTTTAAATGCCAGATGTTCCTGGGTTTGATTCTTGGTCAAGGGCATGTACCTGTGCTGCAGGTTTGATCCCTGGCCCAGCCAGGTCGGTGGGAGTGGGAGGCAACCAGTCCATGTGTCTCTCTCACATTGATCTCTCTTTCATTCCCTCTCTCTCTCTCCCACTCTTTTTCTAAAAATCAATGGAAAAAATATCCTGGAGTGAGGACTTACAACAACAACAAAAATGCTATTTCTACTTTTTAAAATTAAAAAAAGGTAGTATTTTTTTTTTTTAAATAATCTTTTTAAAGTATGCCTACGATTTGTCCTGTTTGAATAGAATAGAAGTGCACACTATTACCCCTTGGTGTTAGTGTTCCTAAATTGCAGGTTTTAGAAAGGTTGCTTTAAAGTGGGAGTAGGTAGAGGTAATATGAATGACACGAATAGGCAGCAAATGTACACAAACAATTTAAATGAATATTTTTATACTGATGAAAAAATCCATTAAGAAGTTTGGCTTTTGGGGGATCAATGCTATTTAGACTTCAGCTCTCAGAGCACTCTGTTTTTGAGAGAGGGTATCCTTGATCTTATAGCTCCTTCCTGTTCTCTGCTAACCTTTTTTGCTACAGAGAACTTGAACCTGTTTCATCACCTTTCTGCTTCTTCCAGGTTCTTGATAAGAAGTACTTGCTAGACTTCAAGATTTCAGAAGAGAGGTGAAAGTATATTGCAACTTTAGTTGGACTGACATTAAACCACAGGTAAAGTTGTGTCCACAGTGAGTTACAGAATAAGGGGGACATTAATATACTAGCTTCAGAAGTGTTTAAATATGTTTAATATATCTTTATAAAGTAAAATGTTTTTGAAGAAAATTTATTTAATATTGGGAAAGCAAAAGAAAACTATATAACCCATTGTCCCACCTCTCATAAGCTATGGCTAGCATTTTGATGGATTTCTTTCCAGTGTTTTTTGTGTGTGCCTATATTTGGTTTTCAAAACTCATGCACTAAAAACCTCATTTTTCCTCCCTACTTAATAGGTTATGAACATTTTTTCATGCCATTAAAATTATGAAAACATAATTTTATATGGTATTTCATTATATGGTTCTGTAGTATTTTACCTAAAGAAGTCATCGGACAGAAAGAATACATAAAAAGGGGAATATCTGGCCCAGACTGGGTTGCCTCAGCAGTTAGAGCATCAGCCCTTGGACCAAAGGTTCAGTTCCTGGTGAAGGGCATGCACCTCGGTTGTGGGTTTCATCCTCAGCCCCAGTTGGGGTTGTCTGGTTGTCTGGGAAGTGATCAATCCATGTGTCTTTCTCACTTCAGTATTTCTCTCCCCCCCCCCCCCCCCGCTCCCCCCCTTCCACTCTATCTGAAGATAAATGGAAGGAAAAAAGTATTCTTGGGTGAGGATTAAACAAAAGTAGTAATAATAATAATAGTAATAGTGTATATTTTTAAGACTTTGGTACATAATACCAGATAGCCTCATAGAAAAATTATGCTGATTCACATACCCACTGACAGTGTATGTTCATACAGGCACAAATTTATATTTTTAAAATATGGCCTTGGCCGGTTTGGCTTAGCGGTTAAAGCATCGGGCCATGGACCAGAGAGTCCCGGGTTTGGTTCCCACTAAGGGCACGTACCTTGGTTGTAGTTCGTCCCTGTCCCCTGTTGGGGTCGTGTGGGTGGCAACCAGTCGATGTGTCTCTCTCACATCGATGTTTCTTTCTCTCTTCCTCCTCCTCTCTCTCCCACTCTGCCTGAAGATAAATGCAAATAATAATAACATGTAATACATTTGCATTCTGCAAAAATCAAAATAATGTAAAAAGATTTCTAGTAGTTAAAAATCTTCCAACCCTGTCACTGTCTACCTCACTCCCTGCCACCCCATAGGGTGATCACTTTTTTAGGATCATGGGTGTTTCGCGCCTATTTTCCAAATCTTTGGAAGGATATAAATCTCTATAAGACAGAGTGATTGAGATTTGATGAGGATTATAACCTGTGGCCCCACTCTCAACCCTTACAAACTCTTTTAGCTTCTTACTTTTGGAATATCAGAACACTTTGATATTCTACAAAGATTTTTTCTTAGTATTCTACAAAGATATTTGGCCTGGAGGTAAATGGCATCTTTGAATTCTACCTAGGTCCTATTAGTCATATGAGTGTGGATTATGGTTTATAGACTCTATGGATAAATTAAAGCAGAACTGAGTGTATAATTCTTCAGAGAGAGTGATATGAAACTCACAGTTGGGGAGAGAAATTATAGAAAAATATATTTGCTTGAGGTTTCTGGACATTGATGAATTAGAACAAGTGTCCATGTGTCCTGTGCTGACTTCTGAGTGCTTGGACAGTGAAGGATTGCCATTGGATTTTAAATTGACCCAATTTTGGAAGCTTCATAGATCTGTTTCTGTAAACAGATCCGATTTCAACACAGAAGTTAGCAAACATAAATGTGGAAACACAAAGTCCATTAACTTCCTTTAGACTTAGTTTGTGACTTAGATTCACAGTTAAAATTGCATGCTGGATTATGTTGCCATTTACTGACTCCTGCTGATCTCTTATGTAAAAAAAAAAATGTAGGTGTTTTCTCCCTTGGTAAGATGAAAATAACTCAACTCTATTTAACTTGTGGTAACAGGATCTCTTATCCCTTGTGAAAGTAGGAGAGGGTGTCCCTGGGGAAATGGCACTGCCTGGGATGGGACCATCTAACTAACTACACTTCTAATGAAGTCTTGAGTTGCTCTGTTTACTCTATGACATTATCAGTTTAACTCATGATTTTTCCTGCAGTATAAATAGGCAAGACACAGCTCAAAAGCTGAATAGTGAGATTCTCAATTGAGAGCATCTATCACACCAAAGTCTTTGTTTTGCTTAGGAGCTGCTTGTCCACTGTTTCAGCCTTGCTTAGAATGCACCCTTTTGTCACTTCCCCACATCCACTTCTGAACCTGCACCTTTCGATTTATAGAGCTTGTAAAGTCTAGTTATTTTTGGTTTGAGAGTGAAGAGAGACAGGAGGTGATAGAGGTTAATATCAGGTGACTGTGGAAACAGGTTACATTGCTTCTTTTGCAGTTGTGTACCCCCCCTGCTTCCTCTTTTTATTTATCTCTCTCTCTCTTTTTTTTTTATCCTCACCCAAGGACATTTTTCCATTTTTTGTTCAGGTAGAGTGGGAGGGAGAGAGAGGAAAAGAGAGAGAGAGAAACATCGATGTGAAGGGACACATCGAGTGGCTGCCACCCTCACGACCAACCAGGGCCGGGGACAAACTGCAACCGAGGCACATGCCCTTAGCGGGAACCAAACCCGGCTCTCTGCACCGCAGGCCGACGCTCCAACCGCTGAGCCAAACTGGCCAGGGCTATCTCTCTTTTTTTAAAATAAAAAGCTTTTATTGATGTTTTTAGAGAGGAAGGGAGAGAAAGATAGAAACATTAATGTGAGAGAGAAACATCCATCAGCTGCCTCTTGCATGTCTCCTACTGGGGATCGAGAACTAAACCTGTGCATGTGGCCTGACTGAGAATTGAACTAGGACCTCTTAGTCCATGGAACGATGCTCAATCCACTGAGCCACACTGGCCAGGCTTCATTTATCTCTTCCCCTAGAAAAATTCAACATTCATCCTTAGCCTATAGAACTCTGCAGCTCTGTCTGTATCTTTTAGGTATCACTTCCACCAGGAAGCCTGTGCTGACCTCCTTTACTCTATTACTCTTCTCTGCACTTCCATAGTTTATCCTTAGTTGCCTTTGGTTTATTCCCCATTATAGCAAGGATCACCCTGTATCATAATTGTATTCTTCATTCAATTGTGAGTTGCTTAAGGGAAGGGATTATTTATATCATTTTAGGCTTTGTTTTTGGGGAAAAAAAATAAGCTATATGATATGATGGATGGCACTTAGTAGGCAGTCTTTGAAAGGAAAGTAGTTCATGACACATGGGAGAGACTTTTTTCTCATGTCTATTGTAGGATTACTGGTCATAGAGCTTTTTTTTTATTTATAATGTTTCTAGGTTTGCAGGAGTCTGAAGCTGTGTTGGATTTAGGTAATTTTGAAATGCAACTCTGATTGTTTTGCTTGGCAGTTTAATTTGTTTGGGGGAATGTGGTTGACACATGTGCCCTTTTTTTTTTTTCCCAGTGAGACCTGTTGACAGAAATTCAATCTTGATTAAGGGGTGCAGGAAGGCATCCAGTTCCCACTATGCATGAGGCTCTCATTTAAACAGTTGGCTTTGCCCCTGGCCTGCTCCATTTCCTACCAAGCCTTGTGCTCCTTAATATTTGAGAGTTTTACATCCTAGTATTATTTATGATAGAGTCAGTGTGGTGAAACTGACATCATCTTGTAGTTACTTTTGGCGTTGTTTCTGTGCTTGTACTAGCACCCTTTATTGAGGAGAGTCAGACCTCTCAGTGGATGTGCATTTACTTATTTATTCCCATTTTGGGAGTATGGAGGGATGGCCATGCCACACCAAAAAATAGCTCAAAAGAAGCTTTTAAACAAGAGGTCATGTTTAAAATAGTATTTTGGTTTTAAAATTTTACTTAACTAAAGATCAGGTGCGTTTAGGTTTGCCTTTTAACTCCCACCAATTAAATGTAGTCCGTGACCTCAGAGGGCATCCCTCCTTCTGATGTTTGAAAATACCCTCTTCATAGTCTGTTTATTTTACTCTAGAAAATCCACTGAGAGGTTCAGGCTAACCTCCATCTTACGTATAGCAAAAACTTTATATACAAAAGTACAAACTTAGAAAAAGAAATTAAGGGGTGATGCTTTACGGGAAGATTCAGAGTTTTTCTGGTATATTTAGAATAGGGTTTTTAATTTATCCATGTTCTTTATGAACAACTTGTCGGGATGCTTCGTTTTTCTATAGAGCAGAAGTTATTTTTTGTCTAACAGATTAGTATGATTTGGTTACCTACCTATTTTTTAAAAAATTTAATATAACTTAATTTTTTTTATCACCATTTATCCCCCTATACTCTCTTCCACCTCCACAATCACTTCTCCCCCAATCACCACATTGTTGTCTGTGTCAATGAGTTTTTTTTTTCTTTTTTGCTCAATCTCTCTAGTTCCCCATCCCCCTCAACAACTGTCAGCCTGCTCTCTAAGTCTGTCTCTGTTTTGCTTGTTAGTTCATTTTGTTAATTAGAGTCCAATTATGAGTGAAATCATATGGTATTTGTTTTTCTCTGACTGGCTTATTTTACTTAGCATAATGTTCTCTAGGTCCATCTAGGCTGTTAAAAAGGGTAAAATTTCCTTTCTTTTTATAGCCAAGTAGTATTCCATTGTGTAAATGTACAATAGTAGTTGTTGTTTTTTTTGTTTTTGTTTTTTATCCTCACCCGAGGACATTTTTCCATTTTTTACACAGATAGAGTGGGAGGGAGAGAGAGGAAGAGAAAGAGAGAGAGAGAGAGAAACATCGACATGAAAGAGACACATCGAGTGGCTGCCACCCGCACGACCAACCAGGGCCGGTGACAAACTGCAACCAAGGTACATGCCCTTAGCGGGAACCGAACCCGGGTCTCTCCGGACTGCAGGCCGATGCTCTAACCGCTGAGCCAAACCAGCCAGGGCTGTTTTATCTACTCATCTACTGTTGGACACTTGGGTTGCTTCCAGATCTTGGCTATTGTAAATAATGCTGCAGTGAACATAGGGGTACATATATTCTT